GAAGGGGGAGAGGGAGAATAAATGATCAAAATACATTATATGCACATATGAGTATGGCAAAATAATATTCATTATCCTGTGTAATTCACATGAACAAACAAAAGAAATACCTAAGATCAGAAAAAATAACTATCAAAGGAAGTTAACATTTCTTAATACTTAGATCTAAATTAGGGGTTATCAGATGGTATTTCATAAATGTGTAGTATCTCAGCAAAATGAATCACTGGAGTAGAATTCACTGTAGTGGTGTTGTAATCTTGCAAGCACCTGAGGATGGGATGCTGAATCATATGATTGTTTGCAACAAGCATTTTGGTACAAACAATGATTTTCAAGATGTTATAGCTTAAAAGAAAGACATCATGGACATTCAACTCATTCATCCTTTATACAATATTTTCAAATAAAATTTTCTCCTTTTTATAAATAAGAGATAAGTTGAGCATCGTGGCCTGTACTGTGGGAGGCTGAGGTAGGGTCAAGTTTGAGCCCACCCTTTGCAACTTGATGACACAGAGAGGCTCTTCTTCAAAATAATATTAAAAAAAATAACTTTTAAAGAGCTGGGGATGTACCTCATTGTGAAAGCCCTGATTCAATTCCAATGAGAGAAATAAAAAGCAAAAAAGAAAACAGGTCTAATAGATTTTACTCAGCTGAAGTCCTAGCATGTCAGTATGTCTACACTTCAAAATAAAATCATGTCTACGTATTTGGCATACACAAATTAGAATTGATGACTCGAAAATTAGCAGAAGACTAACAACAAAGTTCTCTAGATTGATGGACACTGATGTATGTTTGAAAGTGCTTTCAAACTTTACATACAAACAGGAAGGATATTCGTGACCCACTCTGGAGTTAAATAAAGATAACAGTGACTGTTTCTTAAAGAATATGAGCCATGAAGTGAAATTTGAATGAAACATGTTCACCCTTTGTGCTTGGAATCCAGAGATAAAACTAGAGATACTGTTATTGGCAAAATGAAAGTGATAGTTAAATTATTCTAAGTGGAAGAAATTACAATAAAATTTTCATAACCGAAGAATGGAAAGGTCCTAGGATAGAATTTTGGGGAGTTGATACATTTAATTCAAGTCAGTAAAGTACAAGAAGAAGAAGGAACCAAACTAGTTTACATTATTTGTTTATGATTCAAGAATAAACTGAGGATTATCTTAGATGCCCATATGCTCTTGGAATTAAGTTCATACAGCATTGGTTAATACTTCCTTCACAGGGACAATTCTAGGGAGAGCATATCAAATTCCTTTCTTTTTTTGTGTACCTCTGATTCTCCCTGAAATCCACTGTGAGTGCTCTCCACCATTACTAGTCTTCCTAAATTAGACAAAGTTTTGATATTACATCAGGTACCTTTTAGCCAGCTACATACAGGACAGTGTAGAAACCTGGTGAAGAAATGTCACTTATATAGGTATGTGCACATGTATCTGCATTTCTCTGATGCTTACATGATAAATGACACTCTACCTCATGATACAATAATTTGAAGATTATGTCCTTTGAATGGATTTTTTGTGTTTAGATCCAGAGTACATGATATGATTTTTTCACACATAAGAGGCCTATCAGAATTGATTTTTAACAGAGGAGAAGTAAGGAAAGTAGCAAGGTAAAAGGAGAGAAAGGGATAAATGAAAACGATTAGTCAAGTGTACCACATTTTGGTTAGACATCTACATCGTAGGACTTAGAAATATCGATCATCATCTGTCACTCTGGGAATGTTACTGAATTTGGAAAAAGGGCATCAGTAAATGGGACAGTGTGGGATATGGCAAATATAGGATGAAGGAGTAATTATGAAGATAGAGTTTTCCTTGTAGAAAGAAAAAGAAAAACTAGTCTCATGAAAACATCACAAGGATTTTTAAAAATAAAGTGAAGCTGATATACAAACATGTCTGTATCTCAGAGAACTTTACAGTCAGATGTGGTGACGTGCATATAATCACAGCAAAGGGGGCTGAAGCAGAAAGCTTGCAAGTTTAAACCTTGCCTGAGTAAATTTAATTTCTTTTGTCTTTTAGGAAATACTTGCCTCGAAACAAGAAAATATAAAAGAAGAGGGTTGTAAATCTGTGCAAAGGTGCTTGGTTCAATCATAGTGCAAAAAACACATTAAAAAGAGAGAGAGGAATTTAGGTTTTTATATAAAAAAGTAGAAAACAAATTTAGCTTATAAAAGAAATCTTATGCATCTCAATCCCTCTGCATTTAGCCTAAGGGGAAAGAAAAAACAGAGAGAATTTCTGCAAGTGTGGAGATAATTAGAGGTGTATTAGTATAATGAACCCAAGAGGGCTGATTTAATATTTACTAGGCCCCTCCTCGGTTTGACTAGGCACAAAGAGGTCTCTTATTCCAGGTTCATAAATCTTCCTCCTTCTCCAAACATTTATCAGGGATGCCATTTATCATGGCGTCCAGCAGCTGGCTTCTCTAATTTGAGCTGAAGAAATTCATCCTATCTTCTAGAATGCTGCGTGAGTTTTATAGGAAGGCAAACACGCAAGCATGGACTCAGACAGACTTAGAGAGGAAGAAAAGCATCTGTTTGCAATGATAAAAGAATAGTGTGAGAAATGTTCACAGTATCACACTGACACCTCATGGGTGTCCTTACACAGACCACAGGGTACAAACTTTGAAGAAATGAGACTGAAATCTCTGGAAGAGAATTGAGTGATGAGGAAAGTGGTAGAAGAACTGATAATACTCTTCAGACGCCTGGTAAGAACAAAGCCAGCTCACTAACATTAGCTAGACAGTAAATCTCAAGGTTCTGAAGTATTTCCCCCACCGTTTGTTATTACCAGCTTTTCCAATGACAGCCACACAACTTGGTTAGCCAGATACTTACATGCTCCCCCTCAACAACCACCTCTGTACATCTGCACCTGTCACGTAGTGCTCAGGTGGTTACTGTGGAATAAGGCATGTGTTGATGGCTCCTAAAGAATTGCTCTTCTAACTCTGATCATCTTTGCAAGAGATAAAAGTTTGCCCCTATTCAATATAATCCGTGATCTATAGATAGTAATATCATAGGACTGAGCATTTGAGAGTGAACCATGGAATTCATAGCACTTAGATAACCAATCAGTTTGTTCGGAACATGTGTCAAATGGCAGTGCTTTTTTCCATCATAACATGTCTGCTGCTGATTCTAATATTTCACTGGACGTTTAGCATCATTAAGCCCAGCTGCTTCCTGAATAACTGGGGTACAGTTGATATGAAATATGAGTATAGCTGATTCCTGAGCCTGCTGAAATAAAGAAGATTGAGTAGAAAGTCAAGGAATAAATAAAATAACCCAATTTTATTTTTCAAAAAACCATGGATGGTTCTCTAATATACAGCCTAAGAATTTTTTAAATTAAAATCTGTAATGTTGAATAAGTAAGACTTTTGTTTAAAGAATTTTCATATAGGGCATCAGAGCGCAAGTTTTCAGAAAACTTAGACCTCATAAAAATTAAGAAGTGATTAAATTTTCTTGTTATGCTGTAATCCTCTCCTGAATAATTCCTGATATCTCAAAATCTGTAGCCTATTTTCCTTAACTGGTACCACATGTGTCTCTTTTAATCTTTTTACCCCTTATTTTTCATTAATTTTGTATACCTAAGCCCACAAAATAATATTTCATTAAAAACTAGTGAATTTATATTGGCCACATCTCATGCTAGGCAGAGTTTTGCAAAGTTTAAAGGCAAGAAATTCGCTTTTATTCTGGCCAAGTTATACATGGGCCCATTTTCCTGTATTTGCATTTCATTAATAATGTGTTCCCTCATCATGTGCATGACTGTTGTCCATTCTTTTGCTTAGCCAAATTGAATTATAGAATTTCAGTCATTTTAAGCAGACAACTAATTGTAAGGATGTCAGCTGTTTGAAATTTCATCAAAAGAAAACAATGAGCCTAGAAACTCAGAATGTGACAAAGAGCTTTGGCTCAGACATAGCAAAAGTTCAACGATGTGTTCTATATATCTACCAAATCTCCACAATAAATATAATCATTGCATATTGCAAACATGTACCAATAATAAAAAAAAAGAAAACTAGAAAGTGGGAAAAATTGAATTATGTTTTCTAATGCATTTCCTTAATATTTTGAAAGGATTTCTTTAGAATATTCTGTGACCTAAGTTGCTATGATTTGGAAATTTTATATAGATAAAAATGGTATAGACACATAGATATATACATATATTTTCCTTTCTTTCTCTCTCTCTTTTTCTTTTTTATTGTATTATGGTTTCAGGTATTGAACTCAGGACCTTCAAACTGAACTACATGTCCAGTCTTCCCCACTTTTTAAAATTTGAGATAAGGTTTTGAGATTCTCTTTCCTCAGCCTATCAAAGTTCAGGGATTACAAGTGAGGACCATCACAACCTGCCTTATAGGATCCTTTTGAGTTTCAACTATTTCTATCTCTGCTGTCTTTCATAGATCCCCCTTTACAATAATATATAGGTTATATCTGACAATTCGCTGATCCAAACTGACTGTTCATCACTAAGGGATAATTGGAATTAGAGCACTACCAGAACAGTAGGTAAAATACAGGATATGGAAAGAGTTATCAATATCTTATTGCACTTTGAAATTCTGATCAAATAAACATATCTAATTTTTTCATCCATAGGTCTGGACATAAATGAACATTAGCAGTTTAGTCCTGGACCAGGTGACTGCTGAATTGAGCCCACTCATTCTCTCATGTACATAACATTTCACTGTGGCACAGTGCACATGGACACCCTTTCTGAAAGCAGTCATGTGTCTCTAGGGAGCCCTTTCCCTTAAATAGTGTGAATGAGGTGGCTGAGATGATCTCAGAGTTCCACCAATATCAGACAAACTCAGCATAGTGACTTTGGATAAAAACACAGAGTAGATTTTCAGTAGCCGTTGGATCTTCCTCTGTTGACATTAGGAGGCTCAAGGACAATATGTTGGTCTCTAACATCACAGTCTTCATGCCATCTGTCTTGACCCTAATTGGGATCCCAGGCCTAGCGTTTGTGCAGTGCTGGATCGGAATCCCATTCTGTGCCATGTACCTTATTGCAATGATTGGAAATTCTTTGCTTCTGTTTATCATCAAATCAGAGCATAGTCTTCATGAGCCCATGTATATTTTCCTAGGCATGCTAGGAGCCACAGATATTGCACTTGCTACCAGCATATTGCCCAAGATGCTTGGAATCTTCTGGTTTCATTTGCCAGACATCTATTTTGATTGCTGCCTGTTCCAAATGTGGTTCATCCACACATTTCAGTGCATAGAGTCAGGCATTCTGCTCGCCATGGCCCTGGACCATTATGTGGCAATCTGTTATCCACTAAAACATGCCACAATTTTCACCCACCAGCTAGTCACTCAAATAGGAGCTGTTGTAATACTCAGGGCTGCCATTCTTGTAGCCCCATGCCTAGTACTGATAAAGTTCAGGTTCCAATTTTATCACACAACAGTCATCTCTCACTCCTACTGTGAGCACATGGCCATTGTGAAACTAGCTGCAGGAAATGTCAGGGTCAACAAAATCTATGGTTTGTTTGTGGCCTTCACTGTTGCAGGGTTTGACCTCACATTCATTGCATTGCCTACATTCGGATATTTACCACAGTTTTTAATTTGCCCCAGAAGGAGGCCAGGTTTAAGACGTTCAACACCTGCATCGCTCACATCTGTGTCTTCCTCCAGTTCTACCTCCTGGCCTTCTTCTCCTTCTTCACACACAGGTTTGGCTCTCACATTCCTCCTTGGATCCATATCCTCTTCTCTAGCATTTACTTGCTGGTCCCTCCATTCCTCAACCCACTTGTCTATGGTTTAAAGACTAAGCAGATTCACTTTAATGTGATAAAAATGTGCTGTTCATAATACTACACCGGTTCCTCATTGGGGAGTATAACCATACCTCAAAACAAAGCAAGAATAACCCACACTATTTAAGATACCAAAGTTTTCCATTTATAGTAATTGTCTTCTGAAATTTGCCATTATGATAGCAATGTTCCATGACATCTCTCAATCAATGGGCTTAGAAATTTAGCATGACCATGTCTCAAGATAAAATGTTTTAAAAAGGGCTTGCAATGTAGCTCATTATGAAGGGCCTAAATCCAATACCCAATAGTCTAAAACAAAGAAAGAGTGGAAGAGGCATTATATGAGGAAGAAGATGAGGGAGAAGAGGAAGAAGGAGAAGAAGAAAAAGAAGGAAACTAAGATGGAGAAGAAGAAAGGGAATAGGAAGGAGGGGGAAGAGAAAAGGTTTTTACTCTGCAAAAGACAGAGAGATAAATATTTGTGGAGCAAAAGAAATGTATCTTCTGACAAAATAGTGACAAATTTTTAAAAATATAAACTTAAGATTTGAACATGTCACTATTATTACTTAAAAGTTGTGTAAACAAATACTGAGCATTTCTTGTGTTTACTTTTGACAGTGATTCTGGCTAGAAATATAGAAGTTACTTACTTTGTGTCCTAGGCTTGAGATAATAGAAAGAATGTATTGTAGAAAATGAAAATGAATTTTGATACCATTGGACAAGTTAATTTTATGAAAAAATTTGACTCTGAAATGAATTTTAGTGGTCTGGATTTTCACTGGAATGGTAAGTATGAATTCACTATTTTTCATAGACATACATAAACATACAGTTAGTTAGACAGTATTTCCTAAGTGTGTCTCTAGAAACCAAAAATAAGGACTAAACAGTGGGAATGAATGACACTCTTCTCAAGATCTTGGTTTCTAAATAACGTTGCTCAATGAAAGACAACAGGATTCACTGGAAAAAGAGTTGTTTCTGTGGCTCAGCCTAGGAAACTGTAAAATAATTTGGAAATATATACTGTGCCAGAAAGTGGTGAAATGTTCAAATTATGGTTGGATCATGCCAGAAGGATCCAAGACAGTCACTGGAGAGGTTCTTTTAAAGAAAATTTAAGGAATTTTTAAACAATAAACAAAATAATACTAGTAATTGTTTATAGCCCATCTTATAAAGTCAGATTCTGTAAGACCATATACACACAAGTAAAATATGTCATTAGTCGTATAAACTCATCCTTACAGTATAATGCTAATAAACATATAAGTGTGATGGGTTTGGCAATTCATCAATAAAATAGAGTTTTAGGAGGAGTAGCTATTTAAAGAGTATCAAAATATCTTTCCACAGAAATCCATGAAAAACTATTGCAATTAAACATAAAAGATCATATCCAGTAACCAAGTGACTTAAACTAACTCTATGTTCACAAAATATAGAACCACATAATTAGGAATATAATGAACAGAGAAAGACCAATTCATTTCATGGTGAGACATTTTTAAAAACCCACATAGCCTGAATCCTAACAATAAAGAAACATCAAATAAACACAAATGATGGAAAGTCTACATAATAAGTGGTGTATGTTCTTCAAAAATGTCACCGTCAAGAAAGAAAAGGAAAGTCTATGGAATTGTTGCAAATTTAAGAAAACTACAGAGACAGAATTTAAATGCATCGATTGATCATCAATTGGATTATAACAAAAATCATAGCTGTCGAGGTCATTGTTGAAACTGTTATTTAACTTAAGTATGGACTGCTGATTAGGTTATAGTATTCCACTCTGAAATACTTTGATTGTGGTTACAGTACTATAGTTATGCAATTAAATATCCTTTTCTTTGAGAAATATACATTTAAATATTTAGGAGTTACAGGGACACCATTAATTTAACTTATTCATAAACAGTTGAGAAAACAATTTATCAATTGATGAATTTCGATTGATCTATTTTACAGTCTAGAATGCACTTATAGAGAGACAAAGTCAAATAGGGAAAAGTATATAATTTTTTGAATTTTGATACATGTTATAGAGTTTCTCATACTACTCTCATAACATTCTATACATTTAAAATGACTTTAGTATAAAAACTTTTGAGGAAGTTACTGTTCTTCAGAATATCCCTCCCTAATTGAGAAAAAGGTGCCCTTAATCACCCACTTGGCCAGCTGAGCAATCCAGTCCTTTACTTTGATATTAACCTCAGCTGTACAATATATCTCTACTCAATCATCAAGTCCTCATGATGTCTTGAAAAATTCTTAAATGTGCTTCTTCGCCATTAAGTCATTAACTCTTTCCTTGTTTGTCTTTTGTGAGATCCTATGTACCATAATATATTGTACTTTTCATCCTTCATGTTTGGGATTTTTAATGTAAGCTATGTTTCCATAAGTTACTAGAGTTAGCTTTGTAAAATTAAAATCTACTTTGTCATCTTTATATGTCATGTTTTATTTATTCTTCAGAAAATTTTAAGTTTCTTTCACTTTATGCAAAAAGAAGCTGCTTGATGATTCATCTTATGCTGTTTGTTGTAACATGAATGTTAATACTTGTACTTTTCTGTCAGACTATCTCCTCCTCAGCTTCCAGAATTTATTAAGATGTGTCCTGTCATGACAGAGTTTATCCATTTCACTGCTCCATTTCTGAACCCCACTTCCCAGCTTTCATAACAAATGTCGCATTGTTCTTCTGTTTCTTCCTTATGCAATTCTCACTCCGCCCACATCATCTATATAAGTCATTTGTATGCTCACAATCTACATAATTCATGACACATTTAAAAAAAATTTTCTGTTAGTGTGATCGCAACTTTAAATTGCTGTATAAGCACACACTGTCTCACTTCTGTTATGCCATGGAATGGAGGAAATTTTGAAAATTAGTTCAGAGTCAGATGAGAAACCAAAATAGCAAGTTTATTCCTAATGAGTAGGTAATGGTTCTGAAGGTAATGGTAAATGTGTGTACAGGTGTATATATCCATAATGGGTGTGTGTACGTTTATAAGGGGAACTGACAAAATTGAGGCTGAACTCTAAACACGTCTCCCACATCCAACTGTGAACAGTATGATGTTGCTTTTGTCACATTGTTTTAATATGAATTTACTAGCTCTTTCAGAAGAATTATAATCATAGTGTATTGCAGTCCTTTTTTTACTACAAACCATGTTACTGGTAACATAAAATGTATTCACCATTTTCCAAATCTAAAAGTATTTCCACCTCACAGTTGTACAATGAGGACTTTATTCATTAAATTCAGCGTTGATGAGTATTTGAAATTCTTGTATTATTTCACTTTTAAAAACACAAGCTTAAATGTCACCTGACTTCTCTTATATTAGAAACCCATATAAGGTTTATTTTTTATATAGATTTGTAACAATTTTTACACTCAATCTTAGCCAAAAGGCCAAGAAGCAATTATAACAATTTTTGTCTTAATCACTGTAGAGATTAGAGAACACATTTATATATTCTTGCTGGAATAAAAATTTTCACATTCACGTATTAACTATGCTTGCTTGGTCATTAAATTATATCATTAATGTAATATCTTAAACATACATAGTACTTTCTCTAGTATGTTCTATATTACCATTTGGTCAAGCTTTCTTTCTTCCTTTCTTTCTTTTCTTTCTTTCTTTATTTGGGGGTGTTATGTTTTACTTTGTTCTTCATATTTTGGGTTTCTCATACAAGAGAAGTCATGTGATATTTAAACTTGTGTGTCTGATTTACTTCACTTAAGATTAAGGTCTCAAACTGCATCCATTTTCCTACAAGGGACTCAGGTTTATCTTTCTTTATGGCACAGTAGTACTCCACTATGCATAAATACCACATTTTCTTTCTCCATTCATTTATTGATGGATATATTATGAAATGTGCTATATAAACATGGATATGCACGTATTGCTGAAATATGATATTTTTAACATATTGAGAAGATAGCTAGAAGGGGCATGGCTGAGTGGAATGGAGTTTTTATTTTTAGATTGTTGGGGAATCACTGGCTGTCATGGAGTACATCTGTAATCCCAGCACTTGGGAGGCTGAGGCAGGAGGATTGCTGTCAGTCTAAGGCCAGCCTAGCCCACAGTGAGTTCAAGGTCAGCCTGAATAACAAGACTCTGTCTCAAAAAAAAAAGATTTTTAAGGAATCTCCATACTGATATTCATAGTGGTTGTCAGTTTACATTCACACAAACAATATAAAATGGTTCCTGTTTTCTTTAAAATTAAGATATAATTTGCAGAATATACCCTTTGTAGAAATACAAATCATTGAGTTTTATTATACTCACAAAATTTTGCAAATATCACCACTGTCTGATTCTAGAATATTCCAGTCACACCAATAAAGAAACATCATAAAAACCTGACAGTCACCCTGCAATTCCTCCTGCTCTCTCTGGCGACCACAAGTCTTCTTTGTGCACTATGCATTTGTGTATTCTGAATAGTTCGTATAGAAGCAGTCACACCATATGTGGCCTTTTCTATCTGGCCTTTCACTTAGCATGCATTCCAGATTGATCATTGTTTTAATGTAATCCCCCACTATATTCCTTTCAATGCTAATTAATATTCATTTTATAGAAATATCTGAGACTACTCTTGAGCCCACAGGAAGGTCTCTGGCAAAGTCAAACTCTTCCATAATCTTTATTTTTCACATGATAACATCTCCCATCTTAATTCACTCAAATTTGCAATTAATCTATATCAAGGCTAGGGCTTTGTATTTAATATTTCTATGTTTTATCAAAATATATTTCTTCTTTTTTGATGAATTTTATCAATTATGTATTGTAAAAGCTATTTAAATTCCACTTCTATATCTCATATATAATAATTCAATGTGTTACTTATGTTTTTCTCCAGAAAACATGGAGAGATACATCTCTTTTAAAATTTTGCTTTTTAAATTTCCTCTTAAATTTTGTAGAAATTTTTATTCACTAAATTTTCATAGAATAAACTTTTAAAATTTAATTCTAAGAATTTTGGGGATTG